AAAAAAAATTATTATGATTCACAATGACGATAAAAATTACTGCACCGTAAAAAATTTTTCGTCAATTTGTAAAGTGTAAAAATTTTTGTGTAGCAAATTACACTCTAGTGTGTATAATTTTACATTCTCATGTGTTGATTTAACATACGAGAATGTAGAATTAATATTAGTTTGTGTAAAAACAGTCAGTAACACAAATATTTGTGTTAAATTTGACGAAATTTTTTTTTACTGCATGTAAAAAAAAAGTTTTTTTTTCCTCTGAAATTGTAGGAAATGACGTTAAAATATATTTTAGAAAGCTAAAAAAGCTTTTTGAAAAAAAAAATTTTTTTAAGAAATTTTGGGGGTACCCCATTCTGCCACCCCTACCCCATTTTGCCCCCCCCCTCCCCTATATACATATATATAATTGTGTGTGGTGATTCAGCTTCACCTTCTATCGTAGTCACACTAAAACACTAAATGTATTTATAGAATAATAAAATTATTTTTTCAACTAAAATCTCAATATATAACTATAAAATCATATAGCTTTTCTAATACTGAATAAAAATATACCACAAATGCACATACGGTACATAAGAGTAAGTATCCTTAACGGGTGAAGATAATGAATATACCTGGAAGCTACATTTAAACATTATAACAGTTTCAATTGTATTATTCTTCCCTTAACAGTATTGCATGGTAAAAACGTGTGAAAGAAACAAAGTCTTAGCTACAAGGTAGATGTAGTTCCTCAGAGAATCTTAATGAGATCGATAATAATGTAAAACGCGCTGATTCTAATTTTAGGTTACTTAAACAGTTTCATTCTGTACATATTTTGTTCGAATCCTTTAAATCTTCATAGATACAACCTAGATATCCTATAAACCCATTGTATGATAATCCGGTTTGTGGTTAAATGCCACGAGAACCTGTTTTATTAGCGGAACTTCACCGGTTAGGTCTTTTAGAGTCAGGCCAAGTTTTTCAGCCCAAAGATATTCACTAAGAACAGAAAATAATGACTTTTTTGTTTTATTATAATCTTTGACCAGTAAATAAACACATTCGTATTACTGCACACATGTAATACGAATCTCCGCAACATAACAAATAGTATCATACAGTGTTTACGTTTTAATGGCTACACATCCTTGCCAAAAATCATTCTGACGACAGTGTCACATTCAATCAGTTTTAATTAAAGTCACCTACACGATTACTAAATTTATTGAGACTAAAAATAAAATATAAGCCTGACGTAAATATATTATGGTACTATAGCAATATTTGTATAAGCTATGCACTAATGCGATGATTTAGTCCCACCGCAATACGTATACGCACGAGTCTTTATAATGTAAGAATATGAGTGAGTCACGCGAAAACTTTCTTACTTTACTATCTGTTAACTTGATGTAGTAACTACGTAGGACTTATACATTTTTTAAGGTCACAGAGTTTCTTATCTATTAAATTATAAAATTACTCTAATTATTTAGAACGCTGACCTAAAACTATAATTAGATTACAAATGTTGACGAGAAACAATCACTTGAAAAGTTAAGTTACTTTTTCAGGGTCGATGATGAGTAGTTACTTTCCATATACGAATCGTTTATAAGGCTTGCGCAACACTGCTCTCAAGTTCGATAGTTGTTAGTGTCGATGTTCCACCTAGACGTCTTTCTGCAAATAATTATAACAGGTAATAATTATATTATGTCAATTTTGTGCAAACCTTCCACAAGAATTTGACTCTGCCGTATCACAGTAAACTATATATCTGTTGCTTTGTCCCTTTTCAAGCCATGTGCAAATTTCTTACGTACAACAATAGGCAAATCATAGACATTTCTTGAGTCGGTTCCTTATAACACAATCTCGCGCAAAACACATACGTAGATGTAAATGCTAGTAACTATAAGTTCTGCACAAGGTTTTGCTCAAGCACATGTTTCTTTGGTTACAAATAAACTAAACTACTGAAAATCTTAATTATAGAACCTAGTCACTGTAAAAAATCTCACATCACAACCACAATTAAAACCTTTGAAACTTGCACTCTGGTTCGTAGTCCTCATCATAAGAATTGGTCTCCGACTGCAGGGGAACCCTGCATTGTACACCGTTCTGCTTCAAGACGTCCATCATCTTATCATCCCTGGCAAAGAAGGCAATATGGTACGGCGTCATTAAGTCGTTGTTCATAGCTTCTTTGTTGACGTTGGGCTGCTGACACAGCCATTCTACCAAGGTGTAGTTCTGAGCCCTCACTGCGAGATGCAAAGGTGTATCCCCTCCTTTCAACTCCTTTCCATTGACGTTTGCGCCCCAGAGTGTCAGGAGTTTCATCTTTTCAACGGCGTCTTATTGCTGGGATGCGACAATGTGTACACACTGTTGTTGTTTCCTATTGTATTCCACCAAAGTGTACCTATTTTCGTCATTGATGAAATCATGCAACAAAATCAATTCGTTGATGTCACCGCTATGGCAAAGGAAGTGCACCAAGTTATCACCTTCTCCATTTATGAGTCCGGTAAATACTATATTTGATTTATTTATTTCGCTAACAAGTAGTTTGACTGTTACAACACAAATAAATCATTCTAACTTGGTCATACATTAAATATGTGTTGACGCGTGATAACAGATTCTTACCAAGGTCACAAGTTATCACTTGAGCTGTACAATTGTAACATAATACGGCCGCAATTGTAATGTAATTGTGCATAAAGAAACTTTGGTTTTATGCTAATTAAATAATTAATTATTTTCTGAATGAAATACAGTTGAATCAATATTATTATAAATAGTTAAATATTTTAATTTAATTATATTGCTTACTATATGTTTGCATAAGTGTTACAATTGTGGCATTTTCACATTTTACAAGTGATGTTTTTCACCTACTTCATAATAAATATCGAATTATGAAAAATTAACATAAAAACCTATTCTACATTATTCTCAATATTTATATTAAGGTGTTAATTCGAACCCAACATCATATAATTAAAAAACAAACATGTTATTAAAAAAGTTGGAAGTATCCCAAAACAGTTTTCACATGTCTTTCAAAGAACTGTAAATATTCCGATATTGAAACAAGATTAATAGCTAAAATTTTCAACAATCTCATAAATAACTATTCTAAATAATTTCCAAGAAAAAAATAATTCTCAATCTCATTGTTAGATATTTGTTATTACAATTACTCCTTGTTAGAATTGCATCACTATTTCCCTATCACTGGACATTGCTATGTTACTTGTTTACATGTCGTGAAATATCGTGTATAAGTTACCTCGGAGTCAATTCAAGACTTTCACTCGATGTGTCTAACTCATCGGAAGGATCGTCACACACAGCGCCGTTAGTCCTTAGGACTTCCATCATTCCAAGGTCTGAAATTCTATAGGCAACTTGATAGGCAGTATCTTGCAAAGAGTTTACAGCTCCTAGGTCTGCACCAGGTGTTCGGCAAATCCACTCGGCCAGCAGATAATTCCTAGTGATCACCGCAATATGCAGCAAGGTGTTGCCCATAATAAGCTCCTTAGCATTGATATCAGCACCCATGTTCCAGAGTATCTCGATTTTCGACTTAGCGTTAGCTTGGTCGTCCTCAGCTACGGCGTGAGTGACCTGTCTTCCACAGAAGTCATACTGATGCAGGACGTCGGTCCACCGCATGGATTCCAGAGCCTGTAAAAGCTCTCCGACGTCGCCTACTCGACAGATATACTGAAAAACGTTGCCTTCGTAGTCAGTCGACTCAACAAAGTGTTGGCCGTTAGCAGCTCCATTCTCTCCCATAATTTACAACCTAGATAAGCACGTCCTGCACTGTGTGAAAATCAAATATTACTGAACATAAACTTTTGTTTTTTATTCAGCTTACCGGAATATACTAATCCCCCGGGCCGTTTCTTAGCTCGTTTGTTGAAATCCATTACTGCAATATATCCTATGGTGTTATATCTTTCGTCACATCTTAAGATGCCAACACTTGCTTTGATACGTCGTTAAAAAGATTCAGCTGAGTAGATAAACTTTCAAAGCGACTTATAAATAATTCTATAAATCAGTAGACATCACGCCAACACAGCCGTAGCATTAAAAATACGGGAGCAAGAAATAAACTCTAAATGAGGCAACGACTAAAGTGACGTTTTATCTTATTATAAGACTTGCGTAAACAGAAAGGTAAATCGGGACTAGTTGATCAGCTTTTCGCGTAACTTCCCATACCTAAGAAATATGTCCTTAAGCAGGGATAATAAGGTGATGGACGTCTTGAAGCAGAACGGTGTACAATGCAGGGTTCCCCTGCAGTCGGAGACCAATTCTTATGATGAGGACTACGAACCAGAGTGCAAGTTTCAAAGGTTTTAATTGTGGTTGTGATGTGAGATTTTTTACAGTGACTAGGTTCTATAATTAAGATTTTCAGTAGTTTAGTTTATTTGTAACCCAAGAAACATGTGCTTGAGCAAAACCTTGTGCAGAACTTATAGTTACTAGCATTTACATCTACGTATGTGTTTTGCGCGAGATTGTGTTATAAGGAACCGACTCAAGAAATGTCTATGATTTGCCTATTGTTGTACGTAAGAAATTTGCACATGGCTTGAAAAGGGATGAAGCAACAGATATATAGTTTACTGTGATATGGCTGAGTCAAATTCTTGTGGAAGGTTTGCACAAAATTGACAATTTTTACCGGTTGTAGTTTTCTGCAGCAAGACCCTTAGGTGGAATAGCGACGCTAGCAACAACTGACCTTGAGCGCAGTGTTGCACAAGCCTTACAAATGATTTTTACATGGATAACTTCTAAAAGATGCAAAATATATGTGTCTTCAATTACAAGTCATATATATTAAAAAAAAATCAATTAACCCCACTCTACTCTACTTGAAAACATTCCAGAGAATGCAACAATCTAGGGCATACTAGTTTTGCCTACTAATATTCTATCCACACACCGAATGAATCATCAACCTTGGACTGACCTTAGTCAACAAAGTTCGATAGAACGATCGCGGTTGTTTCTATACTATAATATAACGTTGCGCATGTTTACACTTTTAATGAAACACGCTGGCATCGAGTGATCATACGTTCGTTGGCCTAACGTCATTGACAGTGGCGAAGGTCAATTTGTTTTGATAACAAGCTATAAATCGTTGGGGTGATGACCTAAATTACGTCTTGGTTTTTCACTTTTTTTTACTAAAATGCAAACAAGCAGATTGGGGTGTGACTTAAATGGCCGACTAAGAGCGTTTTTCTTAGCGATTTCCGAATGATTACTTAGATTCTATTGTAACGTCTACTACTATGTAGATCCGACCACTATTGAACTGCTAACCAGATTCATTTCCGAAAAACGCAATGAAAAGCTTATTCTTATGCATCATTTATTCATATCAACACTCTGGATGCTGTCCATCCAACAAATCTATTATTTATAAGAGCACCTGATCATAAAATTGATTTATTCACTTAGACGTCTATCTAACCTTTGCATATATGCATGACCTGGAACTATTAATATGGAGACTGACTGGTCTCGAATCGTATTTTTAAAGTTAAGTTTGTTGAGACTAGTCGTTTACCTTTACGATAAAATGGAAGAACAATTTACAAATATTGAGTATGTTCTTATAGCACCAGATATATTAGTGCCCTTAACCTGGCCAATTTATGACCTAGAAGATTTTGTTGTAAAGCTCCTAAGAAAGATCATAAGTACCAGCCAACAGGAGAGCCCCATTATCAGGGTGCATGACATTTCTGTTCGGTTGATGAGGAATCACCCAAATGGGTTTCCCTTCGTGTGTGAATTGGTGCCTAATGAGTAAGTAGCGTTTTTCAACAAACAGTTTAACTCGACAGAATGTAAATCGTTATCTCGATTGCAGACAGGTGATTGGAGCTGACATCTACGATATTGTTTCTTCGGAGGATGTGAAAAACAATTTGATTGGGAGTGCCAGCGGAAGTGATCTTAGAGCCTTACAACGAAGGACTCTTTGGGCTCGAACTCGAGAACCCAGATGCGTTCTACGTTCTCAAGCTCTCGAGTAAGTGTTGTAGTTCATTTAAATTATACTTATCCTCTTTACGAGGTAAATCCTGGTCGTTTTTTCTTATATAATTACTTTGCATTCATACTTGTTTACGTCCCGTTGTCTTATCAGTTGTTTGGATTATGGTTGACCTCAGTTACTAAACCTATTTTTTGCAATTTGTTTTATATACATACTATTATTGATAACGACACACGTAAGACTTATAATTAAAAATCTAAAGGTCCTTAGGAACGTTGAGCGACGTTCTTTTTTGTTTTTTGGATACGATTATTCTGCACTAGTACACTAATAATACATTAAGTACACAGTTTTGAGTTATACATAGAGTTATACATCAATGACAAGAGAATATTCTTGCAGGTTAACTCTACAGGTAGAAAAATGACATCAAACGAAACATCACCTGCAAGCTAAATCTGTGAGCTTACCGCTGTTCAACGAATACATTCAAAAATAGTTCCTGTAAAAAAGCACCAACCCGAGTCAAAAAATTTAAACTGATTTTAAGCTAAATGATCTGCATTTGAACTTATTGATCTGTATTTGAACTTTAAAAAACATTTTTATCGGTATTTCATCTACTATTAAAATTATTTTTGATCTGTTTTAAGTCTAAATAACCTTTTAGTAAAATAATTGAGCAACTATGAATATTTTATGCTGTTTCTAATCTAATGAAACTAAAAAGTTTTAAAAGTTTGATCGGTTTTTAGTCTAGTTAATTTGGAGATGGACTTTATATATTGTTTTCAAATTCAATATGAAATCTTATACTGTTTTTGATCTACAATTTTCACTATAAATGTTCGAAGGCCAAAAGTCGACTAAGATGGTGACTTATAATTTTTTGGACTTAAAAGTATCTCAGTAAAAGTTATAAGTCGCATTTATTTAAAAAAATAAATTAATTTATAATATATTCATGCGCTCTCTTGTTTTATAAACTGAACGTTGATTATAACCTTATATCTGTCATATTTATTTGTCATAGCTCAACATTTCATGGATTATGAAAGTTTTGTAACTGCGAATATTAGTTGCAGTGATAACTAATAAATTTGTATTAATATACGTTTATAAAATAGTTCTCATCGTTTAATTATGGATCTAAATCTAGAGTTTTCTAATTATCGTTATTAAACACAATGTGAATACATCGAGACAAAATTAAAATGTTGACAAGATTAATATTAAATTTTATACTTTCACGCATCATTCAATGAGCGGTATCCACTATTTGGTAGTGCGAAGAGTATCGTTTTGGTATACATTGCACTACGAAATAGTGAATGGTCACTATTTCAGTTTCAGAGAATGAAAAGCCGTGCCCTTTAGAGGATCTTCGAGGACATGAATAAAATAATAATAAATAAATAAATATATTATTATTATTATTATTATTATTATTATTATTATTATTATTATTATTATTATTATATTTTGGTCTTGAAACAATAGAAAACAATTTTATTATAACATTAAAAATGATCTGAAATTGGTCTGAATTGTGAATAATACGGACAAAAACAGATTAAATTCTCATATAAAATAGATACACATAATAAAATTAAATTGAATGAAAAATACTAAAAAATTTTACTAATCATAAAACAGACTAAATTTTTTGACCCGGGAATTCGATGTTCAACGTCCGCAATTGAATTTCTTATAATTTTTTATATAGATCTACATCTTTATAAATTCCAAGCGGACGTATGAAATTAATTCTTGGACCACTTCTGTATTCACATATGTTAAACAACAATAAAATAAAGTTAGTTTCACACTTTTGGTTTGAATTAATCGTCTTATTTTTTGGTCATTTAAAAAAAACAAACTACGTCGCAACCAGTTTTTTTTCAACCTACTCATACTGTTTCCTTTTAGAATATGATTCGTGTAACCATTGTTATAATTTCAAAATTAAAAATACTTTTGATAGCGAAAGAACTTATTTATGATAATTTAAGACCCAAAATTTTTTTGTTTCACTTGGCAGTCCCAAAATATTGATAGACACGTTGCACAGTGTATTTTCTCAGTCAGTCGGTTTGATATGAGTGCTTGCCGCACCTTGTTCAGCTTAATTTCATATTTATTCATGTTATTCCATTCGTGTATTTAACGAGGTTCGAATAGTCTTTCGAGTTTTTAATCGCAATAAATACGTCTAGATTAATACGATACAAATCCAGTTCGTAACTTGATACAATACACAACAGTCGCAACGTAATTAAGTGCTTTGAAAATTTAAATTTCCGCGGTAAAATGCATAGACCGGGTAATTACTTCATACCAGTTATAGAATTTACAAGTTTGGTTGATGACAACCTCGATAGTTTGCAGCCCCCAAGAAGAAGGCTGAACAGAAGTCTCGTAGAATTGTTGCGTCGCTTCGATGGAAATAGTCCAGGAGTGTCCGAGCCAAGGGATCAAGATAATTCAAGCTTACTTAAATCGGAGGATAACGTACCCAATTTGACTTCCACCACAGCTGTACAAGCGTCAAGGTCTACAACACCACTCGTCAGAATTTCCACCCCAGTTGATCAAGCGCAAGCCGATGAAACTGATGCTCCTGTAGTCCAACACACCATCTTCTACAATTGGTTGATAAACGCCGTCATTTTCGACGATTTGAGCTTCAGACAACCTTTCATCAACTGCACTCAAGACGCAAACCAATTAACAAAACAGGATTTGTTCCTCCACGCTCTTGACCTTTATCACAACGCAAACCAGTTGAGACCCCAAGAGTTGGTAAATCTGCCGTTTCTTCCACGCACCATGCGTACTGGAGAGACATTGCTGGATATTCCTTTTTTGGACCCGCTACTGGTGGTGCTCTGGTGCATCCACATCGACGACGTCCACTGGATGCTCAACGTGCTTCCATGGAGGGTGGTCGATCGTCCCATCAGAACCGGCCGCAGTATCCTCGCCGTAAGTAGGATCATTAGCACCTGGATCACCCATCAAATCATCTTCAATCGGATGCTGATCTATATCTTTTGTTCCAGTGGATCATCGACATTCCCAACATCCACGACTTCCTGGAAATGACCAGAGCTCCTTTCACCGTAACCGTAAAACTAATCCGGTTCTTGGACATTTACAGTGAATCGTTTAATTCTGATGCTTAGTGTTGTTTTGTTCGTAAACAAAGCCACAAGATGGTACTAACTTTTTGTTATAGATTAATATGCATTTTTATTTGGATAAGGTTGTGTAGCTTAGTTCATAATTTGTCATCAGTCTAAAATAGAAAGATGTATGATGATTCAGTTTAAAAATATTAATCAAAAATATAAATAATCAAACTGACATAACCTCTGAGATAAAAATAATCGGTAGTTACATAAACACATGCGTTGTTTATCTTGTTGATTGGCGCTGCAGTTGTGGTGTATTAAATCTAAAATTTTCTCAGTTTATCAGTTTTAGGGCTTACTGCACATTGTTCAGCTTGATTAAACTTTCACCCATATTACATTATTCGCATAATCAACGATGTATGAGGCGCGTTTGAAGTTTAAAGCCACAATAAATACATTCAGATCGATACAAAAGAAATCCAGTTTATAACTTGACACTATAGACAGCAGTCACAACATAAATAATTGTTTTGATTTATTAAATTTGCGTGGTAAAATGAATAGACAGAGTAATAACTTTATACCTGTAATAGACATTGCAAGTTCATCCTACGATTTCTTCAGAAGCTCTCAGTTGCCGGAAGAAAGATTAAACAGAAGTGTCGTTGAATTGTTGCTTCACTTGGATGAAACGAGGCTAGAAGGGTCTGAGCCAGGGCATCAAGACAACTCAAGCTCACTAGAGTCGGAGGATAACGAACCCGATTCAAATTTCACCACAGCTTTACAAGCGTCATGGTCTACAGCAGCACCCATCAGATTTTTCAGCTTTGCTGATCAGGTGGAAGCCGCTATAGTCCATTCTCCTGTAGTCCAGGGTCCTGAAGTCCAACCCAACAACTTCCACAATTGGTTAATAAGCACCGTTATTCTTGATGATTTGAGTTACAGAGAACCTTTCATGAACTCCGCTCGAGATGCTAATCAATTAACAGATCAAGATTTGTTTCTCCGCGGTCTCAGCCTTTATGAAAACGCAGACCTGATGGGGCCCAGAGAGTTGGTGGATCTGCCGTTCCTCCCATGCGCCATGCGTACTGGAGACACATTGCTGGACATTCCTTTCGTGGATCCTCTGCTGATAGTCATCTGGTGCCTCCACATCGAGGACGTCCACTGGATGCTCAACGTGCTGCCATGGAGGGTGGTGGATCGACCTATCAGAACCGGCCGCAGTATCCTTGCTGTGAGTATTATCATTAGTACCTGAATAACCAACCAAATCACCCGATCCATATTGCACGCCTCATAACGCGAAACGGTTGAGGCAGTGTTCTACTCCCTGATTGAAAAAAAGTATTGAAAAAGTATGTAATTCAATACTTTTTCAATACTTTTCACACACTGTATATCTAGATATACATATAATATAGATATACAGTTGCATGGTTCAATACTTTTTTTAAATCAGGGCTCTCTCGCCTTACCAAAATCAAGCAATTATTTGAAGTAAAAATGTCTCTATTTTATATATTCATACTAGAATTTAAATTTGCGCGCGCAAGCGCGCACCTGACTACAGAATTTGCATATATTTTCATACTTATGATATATTCGACCAATCACATCACGAATAAATTGGTTTCACATACATTTCATCTCTATTTTAATATTAAGACTAGAATTTAAATGTACGCGCGCAAGCGCGCGCCTTGACTATAGAGTTTGCATATATTTTCATGCTTATTATATATTCGACCAATCACGTTACGAATAGTTTGATGCCACATACATTTCATCTCAATTTTATTATGGGATTGCACTTATAAAATAATATAAATAAACTTGTTATTTAGTGTAAGAAAAAACTGAAAAAAAAATTCTGAGCTTGTCCGGATGTCTGTATGTGCGGATGTAACACAATTACGCCCGCAAAACTTAACATATTAAGACATTTTTTTTTATTAGTTTCAAAATTACAGCGTGCAGTTTTCTATTGCAAATAACTGTGTAATTTTATGTCATTTAATTATAATTAATAATAAACTAAAATCGAATAATCTTTGGTATACCTACACATGTAAATAAAGATTAGCCTTAAACAACGCATGGGCGCTCGATCATATATTCAGTGGTGTGCTTGCGTCGTATTCTTCTTATCTGAGATGAAAACAGCGCGGAATATTTGAATCAATAATAAAAGCATAATTTGTCAAAATTACGACTTATTTCCTTTTTAAAATTTGAATGAAAGGCGTGCACTTTTGAATTACCAAACTTTTCCTTTTGTTTCAGTGGATAATCGGCATCCCAAGCGTCCACGAATTCCTGGAAGAGACCAGAGCTCCTCTCTCCATAGTCTTCAAGCTGATCCATTTCTTAGACATGTATCATGAATCATTAAATCATCAAGCTTAGTGTTATTTTGTTTGCAAACAAAGCCACGTGATTGTATTTACGGTTTGGCAAATATCAACAAACATTTTTATTTAAATAAGCCTGCGTAGTTGCTAAGTTTATTGTTCGTCACCGGTTTAAAATAGAAATACTTATATGGGTTCAATGTAATAATTTGTAATAATCAATTGTGACGTCAAGTTTGTGATTAAAAAACATTTGCAAACTAAATTGCAAAAAAATCAGTTGGTTTTTTTTATTTTTCGTCATGGAGTATGACCCTGGTCGAGCGGTAGTCTAAAATGTATGGAGTTTCATATAGAGCTCTGGTCGATTCTACCAGTAAAGGTCTCGATCAGGAAAATTACGGACTTAGCAAAATTTTACGTCTAGCTAGAGAGCGATGACGTCAGAGCGTGACGTCAGAGTATGAGACGTCACGGTTCAGTCAACCTACCTCAAGTTCGGCCGTAACTTTTTCTGTTTCTTCTGAAAGGTGCGCACTAAAAGATATAAGAGAAAAAAAACGGAAAATTTCATAGCACATTTAATATACACCATAAAACTCTAGGCCAATAAGATCGTTTAACACTAACACGAATTTGCTTAATACTAACACTACACATATTTAGCACAAGATTCACTATATGGAAAGGACGTAATAATCGTCGTGAAACGGATCATCAGTGACGTCTCCCACAATTCGAAACCAGATTATGTCGAGGACGTAATACTCCGAGACCGCCGTGACTTCTGCCAGGGTGATCGTGACACCAGTCAGGCTATGATGGTGGTTCCAATGCTCGACCAGGTGAGCGTGGACTAGGAGCTCGACCAAGAAGTCTGGATAATAGTTCCATACGGTTGGTACAATGCACGTAATGTTAAGCATTATTCCCCCGAAAAATTTCACAGACTGTATAGCGTGGTGAATTTTGATAGAATGGATCACCAGAGTACATCCAGTGTTTATATTCCACACAGAGGAATCAACGACCCCAATATATTGCGTATCTTTCGTCCTCTGCGAAGGTTAAGTCTAAATAACATAGCAGTCATAAAAAAGTCACTGACTTTGAAATATGGTTGTTTTTGTTGCCGGCATGTGGTGAATTCTAATCGTGCATAAATGGTGACTACTTATAGATTCAAAAATGATTTAGCATTTCGCAGATGCGTTATTCTTATAGCTTTTACAATTCTTGACCTTTGCAAAAGTATTTTTGTAAGATTTTGCTGCTAGATTATGTTGATAACTTTGCCAACAGGTTATAGGCCAGGTATGAGGTCAATGACTTTGAATCTGAGGCAAATTTGGATGAATATCAAAAAAGGACTATCTTGTTTGAAAACATATTAGGTTAAGTATTCGAGCGACGAAATTGTGTTGTTTGTCTTGTTAATTATTATAAAACTAACGATTAATTATTATAATTATAATTTAATAGGCTTACCATAAGCCCTTATAATTAAAACTATCAATTAATGTAATTTTATTAACATTTTCTATACGATAATGATGACTTACAAATTATATGAGTCCAGATTTACTTAGTTCGATGAGTAACGGCAATATGGTTGCTGATAGATACGTCATTGTTGGCTGATTCTTCTAGCAGATACAAAAATAACTACTTACTATCAGTTACTCAGAAGGTAACTAGTGAGCTTATAATAATATAATATTTTTATAATCCTAATATAAAATAATCCTAATCTTAATATAAAATAGAGATGAAATGTATGTGGCATCAAACTATTCGTAACGTGATTGGTTGAATATATCATAAGCATGAAAATATATGCAAACTCTATAGTCAAGGCGCGCGCTTGCGCGCGTAAATTCAAATTCTAGTCCCATAATAAAATTGAGATGAAATGTATGTGAAACACCAATTTATTCGTGATGTGATTGGTCGAAAATAAATATTCTCATTCTGATTGGTTGAAAGTGAATATAATATACATAAACGACACATAAATATATCATGACAATAAATATGACGCGCGCGCTTGCGCGCGAAAATTAAATTCTAGTATAATAAAATTAACATGAAAAATATGTGTTGCAAACTATTCGTAACGTGATTGGTCGAATATATCATAAGCACGAAAATATATGCAAACTCTATATTCAGGCGCGCACAAATTAAATTCTAGTACTATTAGTCAAAAATAAATGTGTATACGTGTATACGTTAAACGTGAAAGAATGTTGAGCATTATTTTAGGTGGCGTTATCAGTATGCATCAACACGCAACACACTGTTAATGAAGTAGTATTATTTGCTATTGCTCCGCCCACGTTCACCGGGCGAATAAGTGCAATATGAATAAAATAGAGACATTTTTACTTCAGAAAATTGCTTGATTTTGGTAAAGCGGGTGTAGATCACTACCTCAAGCGCTTTTACACTGTGAGGCGTGCAATTTACTCAGTTCAATAAATAAAATGACAAAATGGCAGCTTGCAGCTGCATATGTGGCGGTACTGTCAGCGCGGTCACGCCTCTGGTGGCAGACTCGCAACCAAAAACGCCTCAACACCGCCAAGCGCCAACAACTGGGACGACTCAACGTACTGTAGATCTCACACGGATACACACAAATAAATCGCTCAAGATACCACCACAGCTGTGGCATCCAAATAATCTAATTAATCCAATTAAAGCTTATTAAATAATAATTAATTATTTAAAATTTCTCCACTTATTTATATAATTGATTATTAACGCGTGTATACAGCAACAATCTCTTTATTTATCACAATTATTAATTAGTAATACAAAAATAATCAGTTATTTTATTCTTAAAGTAGCATCACATGTATGTGTATATTCAATGGTTAGATTAGTAATAATAATAATAATTCAACTGCCAACCGTACGGAGAAGGCCTCGGGGTCGGTAATTTTGATGTAGTTGAGTTGCCTCCACTGGTGTACAGTGTGTGAGGTTTGACTTGTGTGTATGTGTCCATGTATGAATGTGTGCGTGTATATCCCCTACACATAAGCGTTGACTAGTGTCATCTGGCGGATGAAAAATAACTAAAATAACTACTTACCTTCAGTATCTCAAAAGGTAAAAAGGAACTGTAATATTTACATAACATAAATCGGTAAGGAATAAAACTGTATGTAAGATTATATTTATTTAGATTCAAATATTTATATTTACACATGACTAAATTTTGAACAACAATCGTGTTTTTGAAACATATAATAACAAAGATGAATTCCCGATGTCTCCAGTATGTAATGTTTTTGACTTTGTTTCAACAATGGACAGTTGAGAACAGTAAAATGATGTAACGATCTTTTAGCCTCTTGATTCATAAGCAAAAAATTAACCAATTCATCCAAACCTGCTTTAGTTAACGCTTTTTCAGTCTCTCCACACCTCTTGTAGAAATAGTCGGTTAATTTTTCTCCTTCTTTGCCCTCAAGATGCTTGTACCTTCCGTTTTCCTTCAAACTTTTCATTGCTCTGATCATTGGAAAAAAATTATCGACGTCTAATAATATTCGGGTGCCGTTAGCGGTTTTTTGTTCTAATCGCGAACATGGAACTTCTGGTGAAGTAGTGACACATGCCTAAAAATGAATCAATTAAATCTTAATATTTTTTATTTATTTATTTATTTATATATCACTTATCAGTTCTTTACTTATTTATATAATTATTAATTTAATACAAAGTTATAAAGTTATTAAATTTAAAGGGTTATATGGATTTCCTCTGGGAAATAATGGCCTATTTTCAACAATTTTTTTTTTTTTAATAGAAAAAATTAAATATTTTATTCAAACTTTTTACTGTCTTTAAAATATATGTTTAATAAAGGATTACTGAAATTGAAAAGAAAAAAAAATATTAAAAGCCTTCGAAAAAAAGATGCGTCCGCGTGATCAGCAGAACTCCTAGCAGGATTATTTGAAGTGAAAAAAAAAAAAAAAATATGTGCTTTAGTTAAGACTTCAAACTAAGTCTTGAACAAAGGAAAAAAAATGAAAATTGGATTTTTGGCAGAGGTTTTTACAAAAAAATTAAAAATTTGGCTAAAATTTCGCGGCATTTTTTTTTTTTTTTTAAATAGTTGTAATTGAGAAAAGGACAAATCTTTCGTTCAAGACCTTGTAAATTATATCTTGAAGACCTGTCTAAAATTTCATCAAGATCGGTTAAGTAGTACTCGAGAATTTAATGAAAAAATTAAAAAAAAAATCGATTTTTTGAAACCGTGAAACCTCTTAAGCAACATTATGTATCTTTATTGAAAAAAAAATTATAAACAGATGCTTTAAATTTTTTGAAGCATTGCAATATCTAATAAATCTATTGCTTAATTTAAATAAATAAATTTTTTTTACTCACCCAATTTAATAAAACAAAAAATACCACCGTGGAAAACAAAAATAATTTAACAGACATTTTATATAATTCTATTGTTATTAAAAGTTATTTCAAATCGTTTGTTAGAAAAGTTTAAACTGATGTTCCTTTCTTTTTAAGTTGATGAGTTTTCTCTGAAAAAAATTATCATAGAAATATCTCTAACGGTTTTCTTTCAGATAAAAAAAGTAAATTTGATAAGATTGTTTTAACACACATACAGATAAGTAATATTATTTAATTAATATAAATTTTATGTCTGAGACTTTAAAATTTTTAATATTTTTACCGTGTACATTTTTTATCACTTTTTATTTAGAAAAAAAAAAATTATATTTGAAATTCGCGCGTATTTTACCATCATACTACTTCTTCATTTTTCAACTCTTACATTTAAATTACATAATAAAAAAATTCAATGTATGAACATCTAAAAAATGCAAAAAATTTTAAGATGGTTATAAAAACTAAAAAAAATTATCTATAGAAATCTGCCATCGTTTTTTTTTTTTAAGAAAAAAATTGTTTTTTCCTTTACATTATATTATATATTATAAAAATTCCATGACAATAATTAAATTTAACGAATTAACATAGATCAAGACTAAGATCTGAAAAAAAAATTAATTTATTAATATCATAAACATACACCAGAATTAAATAAAAAAGGACATTAGTGATAAATTTGAATAAAAATCAACAAAATAAACTAAAAATAAAAATTATTATTAAATTATTTATTTATCTTCATAAAAAAAAAGGCATTCATACTTACAATTATTATTTCATCTCTTTAAATTTCTACATTCCAATAAAATGAATCACTTTAACTTATTATAATTTTATCATAATAAAACTTGTGATAGTCGCTACTTACACTAGTTTATTTTAAATAAACATTATTAATATTTTCTAAACTGAAAGTATGTCAAATAATCAAATGAATGTGTGATAATTTGCATTTGAATTTTTTTTCTTAGAAAAAAAATTTTTTTTGTTACAACAATAAAGGTCATTAAAATAATCAGTTATAGTTAATATAATTATTAATTTAAGCTAGGAGTTATGTTACCATTCCACTGCACTTCAATGCTCGGCCATTTGGTTTGTAATACCGTCAACATTGGATTACTGTCTAAAATACACTTAACTGTACACTCGAGTAACACAGCATCTCCGGTGTGATAAATAATACGGTTGTCCGGATTGCTACGCAATAAACCATTGTAATGCAACAATGGAAAAGTGTCTGGACAAGTTTGTATCTCTTCGGGGTAATATTCATCCATAAATGCCGCTAATAAAATTATACCCAGTGATTCGCTATCTAATTTTTTTCTTATTATATCAATGCTGAAACAAAAAATAATAAAAAAATAAATTATAAATTCAAGCTTTCCACTCCAATGTCAAAAAATATATTTTGCAATATTATTAATAATAATCATAATTTTAATTAGGCATCATCACTAAATAAGAATTTATTTTTGTGTAATTTTCGAGCTAGAATTTATAAATTGCCATTTTGTAAAAAAAAATTTTTTCAATTTTTTTTTTTAGTTAGTACGGAAGCGGCATTAATCCAAATTAATAATCTTTTTTTTTCTCTAGATTGCTAAAAAGGTTGAACTTTGGTAGCTGCTAACTTTTTGAATTTTTTTAATATCTTATAAAAAAAAATAAGTAAAAATATTAATTTCTTTTATCTTACGACACTTAAAAAAATTAACTTAAATTCAAGCTTCTAGACCAGAAGAAAAATATCTTCTTAACTAATGGCCAATGAACTTACTACTCTTTGTCACTGCATAATCCCAGCTCGGCAAGCACGTCTCCCAACAAGTTCGAGGGTATGAAATTGTTTCCCTCGGGGTCAAATTTTTTGAATATACGTCTCGCGTGCTCCGCGGGTGTTTCTGGTGATACTAAGCGCCGATCCGTTGAAAATAAAACTGTTAAGTGTGTTTCTGAGCCCAGGACCCACACCGGGTGCGATGGGGACTTTAAGAATGTCCCGACTTCACAGAAACGCAAGTGCTCCAGAAATGCTAAGAATCCTACTGCATTTTGTTTGTCTATTCCACGTAATTCTGAAAATAATTAATATTTTTATATTTATTTTATTTTCAGAAGAATTTGTTTACAAACCAGATTACAAAAATTTATTCTTTTTTTTTTTTTAATTATAAAAAAACATTTTTAATTTTGTGTTATTGGAAAAATTAATTAATTGGTCAAATTACCCCAGAGATTTTTATAAATATTAATGAACAAAATGTAAAAATTTTAGCAAGAAAAATAAAAGATTTTTAAGAAAATAAATTTTAAATTTAATATCTCGAACATCAAATTTAATATTAATTAAAATTCTTAATCATTAATTAATTTTTATTTGTCAAAAAAATTTGGCTTAAAAAAAAAATGAAAAGTTTAGTCTTTGACTATTTTTGAAATACCAGGCTTTTTATGATGATTGATAAATTTAGCTCATCAACTTTAAAAATAAAGTTTTCAAAAAAAGGTTAAAAATTTTTTACCTCAAGATCCTTAAAATACAAGCTTTACAAATGTCCGTATAATTTTCTATGTAAATACTTCAATTTATCCAAATTACAAAAATTAAGTAATTTTTTTTTTCTTATTTCAAGTGCGTATAATTCCTAAATAACAGATTTTTTTTTTTTTCAATCACATTCCTAGGATTATTATTTAGTTATCAACATATGCAGGATTTTTGCCTTTATTTCAGAATAACAATTCAGAAAGCCGTAATTTGAAAATTAAAATTTTTATAGTTAGCAAAAATAATTACGAATTTTAATTTTGAAATTACACTAAAAGTATTGGTAGTATAAAAAAATCATAAGAGACATTTTTTGTGGAAAATTAAATTTGCTACATTAGTTTGAAAATTTTCTAAGACCAAAATTTTCGCCGTAATATCAAAATTTAATTTTGAAAAAGCAAAAAGCTTATCAAGAATGAATGCTAATCCCATTTCTAAGAAATTTAATTCGCTAGGATTATTTTTTCACAGTAGTAAAAAAAAAAAATTCTTCAAATTCTTGTTTATTATCAGAATAACAAAAATAATCTCAAGATTATCAAGCTAGCATGGACTTATCCATTATTCATTGACTCATTATTAAAACAACAAAATTTATTTGTGAAATTCCAAGCAATAATTAATAACATCTTTCCAAATAACACTCAAGTTAGTCGACATTTTTAATTTTTTTTAATTATCAAATTAGAACTAAAAAGTATTTTTTAAAAAATCCACTTTTTAAGTTTTTTTACAAATGAAAATTTTTTTTTATTTTGCAATAATTTTTTTAATAAAAAAAAATTATAAAAATTTTTAAATGTCGGCTAACTTAATTTTCATTTCTAAACAATACTAAAGTTAGCCGACTTGTTTAATTTTTTTTAATTATTAAATTAGAACTAAAAAATATTTTTAAAAAATTACACTTTTTAAGTTTTTTTACAAATGAAAATTTTTTTATTTTGCAATAATTTTTTTAATAAAAAAAAAAATTCTAAAAATTTTTAAATGTCGGCTAACTTAATTTTCATTCTTTCCAAAATGAATTTAGCTACTGCTATCAAATCTCTAAAATAAAAAAAAATAAATTAAAATAAAAAAAACATACCTAGCCCTCCAACATTCTGATCATGATCCCAAACATGTCCAACAGCTCGACCAGTGAGCATAAGGTTGATCAAGCTCTGACTGCCGTACCCATAAGTAGAGTCAATAGCGGGTTCAGTGGGATCTGACATTTCGTTGGTCATCCCCTCGAGACCCTTGGTGCAGACGACAGTGTAGAGCAACAACAAAACTCCGAACTGCTCCTTGAACATATAGATCCTGGAGGTGAGCCACTTTTCGACATCATCCAGGTTCCGCGTCTCGACTATCCTGAGCCTGGAGTGAAAGTACTCCGAGTCCCGTTCGTGAGGTTCTATCTCCTCTCGCTCTCTGTCACCATCTCCATCTCCATCTCCATCTCCGTCCCCGTCACCGTCGTTGTCATCCTCGTCCCCGTCATCGCCATGCACAATGTGGACCAGCGAGTAGTACGGCGGGTCGTCTGCTGCTTGTGAAATAATCTCCAAGGCTGCTTTTACCAGGAGCGCGTCCTGCTTATCGCTGGTTATGTCCCTCCATGTGTTCGGCGCACCCTGGAGCAGCAGGTCCTTGATGATGAACGCCTGGACCGGGGCGAGCACTGCGCACGGGCCGCCTTCTAATTGCACCAGCGCCGTCGGCTCGTCTTCCGAAAATATGAACCCTGGGATGAAAAAAAATTTATTTTATTTTATTTTATTAGACAGAAAATAGAATTTTAGGTTATACCTTGGGCCCAGCGATTGAACACCTCCTCCTTGACGCTGTTACCCCAGAGCAAGGTCTTTATCTGGACAATCGCTTCATTCACGCTCGAAGGATCGGCCATAATATTTTATAGTTGATGTTGGTGAATTTTGGTGATGATTTGTCAATTATTTTATTGTTTAGTTTTTTTATCAATTGTCAATTTATTATTATTGAAACAATTGATTGGATATAATGTGCACTGGTCGGTTTATTATTAAGTAATAAGATAGATCATTATTTACTGGTATATACGTACTGCGAGGTTCCAAGTTAGAGGTGGGTATCGTCAGCTTAGAGGATTTAGTTACTCGGTGTTTGTGGTTTATCACCAGTGTTTGCTGGGAATTGTTTGTTGTTGTTATTTTTACTTGGGTTGTTTTTGTTCTGCTTATGGTTTATTTATTTTTTAATAGACTATATTTTATTTTAATATATATATTTTAATAAACTATATTAGTGACAATATTTTAACCTATTTATTTATGAGTGTCGGCCATTTTGAAAAGTTATCGTAGTGACATCTGTTGGTTGCAAAATTAATTTTTTGTAGATTTGGCGGGGAATTTAAATTTTTTGTTTTGAAGGAAATTAATGGGAATTGTTATTAAAGTTGTCACTTGATAATTTTTTATTATTTTTTGATTTTTTTTAACAAACAAATTTGATGACATAAAAGTCAACTGTCATTTAACAATTTTTTTATTTTATTTAATAAATATATTTGTTGTAAAAAATTGTTTTTAAAAAATTGCATTTTTAATTTTTTAAAATTTTTATATGTCAATTTTTTTTTTCTAATATTTTTTGCACTAATTTATTTCTTAAAAATTGTTCTAAAAATTATTAAATATCTGCTACTTTAATTTTCATACAAATTTGTTCCAAAAAATTGTTTTTTAAAAGTTGCAGTTTTAATTTTTTTTAATTTCTATATGTCAAAATTATTTTTTCTAGTTTTTTTTTTTTTTTCTAATTTATTTGTTACAAAAATTATTAAATATTTGGAAAAATAATTTAAAAAAAAATAAAAAAAAAAATTTGACATGTAAAAAATTGAACAAAATTCTAAGTGCAATTTTCAAAAAATTATTTTTCATTAAATTATTTTTCATTAATATTAACAAAATTTTTTTACTTAAAATATTTTCATTTTTCATAAAAACTAAGCTAATAAATTTTAATTTTTAATTTTAATTAAAAAAAAAAAATTATCATTGATATTAATAATAATCATAATTCTCATTAAATATTCAAAAAATTATAAAAAAAAATTCTACTTCAGTATTAGCGCCATTTCAAACTTCTAACCTAAGAAAAAACACAAACGTAAACATAAACAAAGATGTAAGCGTAAAAAACTGACTTACGTTATTACTGACCTTAAATTAATTTATTTACCATCTAATTATTAAAAAAAAAATACCTAATAATGGATGCAGGTAAAACATTTTATTGCGCTGCAGGATTTCGTGATGATGTCATTGAATTTATATCACGATTTACATCATCGGAGTCGTACATGTACGAGGACTTCGTACGAGTCTGGAAAGACATGAAATTCTTCCGAGTATTTACGTAAGTATTTTATAAAGAAAATTAAATTAGCTGACATCTGAAAATTTTTAAAATTTACTTTATTAAGACAAATTATTAAAAAAAAAAATTTCACAAGTTGAAAATTTTAAAAACTATCTGTGCAATTTTTTTATTTGTATTTTAATTAATGAAAAAAAAAATTGTTGAACGTCGGCTAATTTTAGTATCATATTTTATTTTATAATTGATATTTAATTATTAAAAATTTTAGAGGAAGATCAACGCGTTCAGAGTTGATGGAATTTTGCGAGGAAGCTCTGGATATTACAAAAGAGCTGCTGCTGTCCATCAAAGACTTGAATGAAAAAATCGGTGGGTTGTTTTTATTATATAGTATTTATTTTTCCATGCCGCTAAGAGGTCCCAAAATTCGGATCATCATGTCCGAGTGGGAGAATTTGATAGCGTTCAAAAAATCTCTCATTAATCAGAAACGATGGGACTGTGTTATGGTGTTGAATAAACTTGTTGATGGGAATGCGTTTGCATATTGTCTGTGTGATAATGAGGTAAATTTTTTATTTTTAATTAAAAAAAAAATTAAAATTAGCAATCTGACAATTTTAAAAATTTTTCTGATTAAAAAAATTAATAGAAAAAAATTGGACGTGTGGAAAATTTAACAAACTATACCTAAGTGCAATTTTTTGAAAATTATTTTATTAGTTCTAATTTAATTAATTAAAATTTAGTGTCATAAAAAATTAATTGAGTAAATTTACAAGTCTTGACTTGAATTTGTGCCTTTTCAAGGTTTTGTATCATTCTCACCGATAATCAATTTATTATGATAAGTATTTAGGCTGCATTCCAAAATACTCTATTTCTAGATACATAATTAAGAAATGATCTAGTATCTTGTGAAATATTGACATTTTTAAAGATATAAGCTCATCCCGATGTTACACTCATCAAGACCTTTCATTTGAGTACCCATATCAATTTTTCATATATTTATATATATTATATATATGTATATATGAAAAATATATCAAAATGCATGTAGGTACTCAAATGAAAGCTCTTGATGAGCGTTACATCAGGATGAGCTTATATCTTTAAAAATGTCAATAGATAAGAAAGTACAGGGCATTTTAACAAATATCTTGTGAACTATTGAGATTTTCAAAGATATAAGCTCACCCCGACATTACACTCATCGAGACCTTTCATTTGAGTACCTACATCAATTTTTTCATATATTTATATATATTATATATATGTATATATGAAAAATATATCAAAATGCATGTGGGTACTCTAATGAAAGCTCTTGATGAGTATAACATCGGGATGAGCTTAAATCTTTAAAAACGTCAATAGTTAAGAAAGTACTGTGCAATTTTACAAAACTCATTATTTTATAAAGCAAAATTTTGTTTATTTATAGTTCACAAGTTATAGCAGTCGCATAGTGACTGCAAGGTTGCTAGTATCTATTAAAAGTTAAAATTTCAAATTATGATGAAATTTATTTATGAAAATTAATTTAACAGATATTTGATAAATTTAAGAATTTTAGTGACAAATTACGGCAAAAAAATAAAGAGTAAAAAAATTAAATTTTTTAAAAATAATTTTCGAAACAAATTTGATTGTTAAATAAAATTAAAAATACTCAAGTTACTGCTTAATTGAATGTCATAATTTATTTCATGTACGATCGGCCAATTACTGGTACATTAACTCTAATTTAATTTTAAAATTATTTATTATTTCTAATTTAATTAACAAATTTTTTTTTTTTTAGCGTGGATTAGAAAATTACTATGTTTTGAAAGATTTCATGAAAGGAAATTCCCGACCAATAGAATCACAGAAAAAAAAAGTTGAACTTTTGTCAATATTTGACAAAGTAGTTAAAGAAGCCAGCAATTACTCAAAATTAAAAGACAAATTGTCATATAAATTAGGAATTAACGCGAATAAAGTTCCTATGCTATTCACGGATGACACTTTGAAAGAAATCGCTAAAACCGTCAAGAATTTGGACGAGCTAGTGAAACAAAAAGCAAACAACAGTGACAATGCGCGGCGCAGCCAGCGCACATTTTGTCCACCTGTTCCCAAAAGTGGAGATGAAGATGAGAATGAAAAAGAAGATTCCGAACCGGATTACCACCAGGACTCGGATTCCAATGACGATGATCCCGACTACCGGGCTAGGACTCCCGAGTCTATTGATGCTTTTGATGCTGATAGAAATGAAAATGTCAATGTTGGTGGAAATGTAAATAAAAATCAAGCGCCAATGGTTAAAATTACCAAGATTGATGAGTCCCAAATGAAGAAATTTTGTGAAGCTAGTGGTTATCAGGATTTTTGTGACAAACAAGTCGCCTCTACTTCTAAAAGTGATGGTGTTAATAATGACTTTGATTATTTACCTCATATTAAAATGGAGAAAACTCATTATGATTCAGATTATTCAGATGAGGATTTTTCACTTTTAGATTATTAATTGTAATAATTAGTTTTTATTTTATTGTAAATATATTTTTTATATTTCATAAATACTGCATTTCATTATTATTATTAGAATAATATATTATAACTTAATAATATTAATATTATTTGAAACTTTAATAATAATAATAATAATAATAATAATAATAATAATAATTGGAGATTAATTATTTTTAAATAAAAATTATTGAATTTTAAATTATTGATTTTATTAGAGTTAAAATTATTATTATTATTTTTATTGCTTGTTTTAAAAACATCAAATTTTCAAAAAAATTGCATCAATCCGCAATTAGTTATATAAAGGAACTTTTTATTTGAATTTAATCGCGATATCATAAACCTAATATATATTTAGATTAAAATTATTTTCCATTTATCCTTTCTATTACTAATAAGTATTAATTGATTCATAAATTAGTACCATTTTTCAAAAACTAACTTAGAGAAATTAATAAATGAAAGTAAGATTTATTTCAAACAATGTAGAAGCCAAGAGATTGATGATATTTTTTGAAGATATAAATAACGACAGTATATATTTTTAATAAACTTTGAGCTGGTTATTGTCATCAAAGCCAGCACTGTGACCTGCATTGCGAACAATAAAGCTGGTTCCATCATAGTGCATTCGACGTTCTCCGCGACGAACAAACAAATGAGATGTCTGGCCTAGGGAAGCAGTGCAGTGCATAAAAGGAGTAGTCAGTGATGCTGTTCCATTGCTGGGAGATGTTCGCATTTGGTATTTGTTACTGTTTCTTGCAATTCTGTTAAAAATCATTATCAATCATCAATCATCATCATTATAAATCTTGATCATCATGCATTATCATTAATCATCAACATCATGATCAATTATTATCATCAATCATCATTATTATGATCATCATCAACCATTATTATCATCAAGCATTATCACTAATCATCATCAATCATTATCATCAATCATCATTATCATAATAATGATCAATCATCATCATCATCATCGTGATCAATCATCATCACCATGATCAATCATTATCATCAATCATCACCATCACCATCAATCATCATCATCACCATGATCAATCATTATCATCATCATCATTATGATCAATCATTATCATCATCATTATGATCAATCATTATCATCATCATTATGATCAATCATTATCATGATGATGATGATCATTATCATCATCATCATGGTGATCATCATCATTATCATCATGATGATCAATCATTATCATCAATCATCAATCATTATTATCAATCACCATCATCATGATCAATCATCATTATCATCAATCATTATCATCATAGTCATCATTACAAACTTCCAGCTTGCCTAACAAGACCATCAGGAGTCTGTGACACTCTAACATTGTTAATGATCCAATTTTCAACTCCTTCGTCAGTCACCCAGTACTGAGCTGCGCTAAGAGCAGCTGCTGCTTCTTGGAGACATGCTGGACCGTGCCTTGACTCAGCGTAAAAAACACCCAATGAAAAATCCTGAATCATATAAATTTATATTTAACCACCAATCAATTTATTTAAAAAAACAAAAATATTAATTTTTAGTATTTTACCTGACTCATATCTGAAAATGAATCAGTCGTAGTTCTTGTTCCCGCTGCATCAACCAAGTACACCAGAGCGCATTGTTCCGAAGTGAAGCTCACTCCTTTGTACCACATCTTGGCGTACCTGCAAAAAATTAAATAAATAATCAATTTGACTATTAGTAATAAAGAAAAAAATAATTACTTATTATTTCCATGGGAGTCATGAGCAAGAATTTCCACACGTGAGCCATACTGATAAATCCGTCCATTGGGGTGAAGAAGAGCAGCAGCTGATCCAGATCCGCTTAACGATAGTACAATGTTGTTCTGTAAATAAAATTCAAATTAATAATATTTTTTAAGATTTAAAAATCCCGCCAAATAGAACTAGACTTCAGTTTTGAAATTAAAATGGCGGGCAGGAGCCAGCTGATGGATAGTAGCCAGTTTTGAGTTTTTTTTTTCCAAATACATTGAAATTAAAAGGAATTTAACTATTATTATCAAAAATAATTATCATTCAAAGTGGTATTAGTTTAATAAAAAAAGAATTAGCTTGAATGATGATTTTTTTCAAAAGTTATCGCGTTAGAAATTTTTTTAGGTCCCATCTTAAGAATTTAAGAATTTACCTTGAAGTTGATGACTCTAACGGCACGGTCTACAGTCATGTCAACTCTAATGCGATTGTGAAGTCGCAGTGAAATGGTTCCATGGGGAGTTGCAATTGCTCCGCTAGGTCCTTCTATTTCATGGTCTCGCCAATTTTCTCCGTATGCGGCATTGTCTTCAGAGGGGTAGTAAGGAGTGACCAGAGTTTTTGAAGAACTTCTTTGCCGCCAATTTGAACCAGGAAAATTTGGAGTTCCAGTCCAGTGCTCGTTTGATGGAGAGTCCAGGAACTTTGAAAAATCATTGAAACGCTGAAAATTTTTGGTTATAATTAAGGCCAAAATATTTGCCGCAATTTAAAAAAAATTATTACGGCAAAAATATTGGTTTTGTAAGAAAATTTATTGGATAATAGTTGATCAAAATTTAATTTTATAAATAAAATGTTTATGGTTTTGTAAAAAAAACCAACATTTTCGCTGTAATTCTAAAATTAAGATCCATAATTAAAGATTCAAATTTTTTGATGATTATGAATTTTACTTTTTAAATTACGGTGAAATTATTGATCCTACGGAAAGAACATGAACATTTTTTTTATAAAATTAAATTTTGAACAATTTTTGTATGAAAAATTTTTTATAGGACCAATACTTTTGCGATAGTATCAAAAATTTGAATTTTTGGCATAATACTAAAGTTAGCCGGTTTTTAATTTTTGAATTTATTTTCATTAATTAAATTAGAACAAAAAAATATTTTTTAAAAATTGCACTTAAAGTATTTAAAGTTTTTTACAGACAAAAAATTTTTTTGTAATAATTTTTTCAATAAAAAAAAAAATCTAAAAATTTTTAGATGTCGGCTAACTTAATTTTGAATTTTTGGCAAAAATCTTGGCGCTAGTTACAATTGATAAATAGTTCTTTTTCTTTTTTAGAACATTCTAATTACCGGAAAATTACTCTCGCTAGAGTGATAATTGTAATTGGTGTAAAGGGACCTGGGTCTCAGAGTGGCATGATGATTGTCCCGAGCAGAGTAAATGCTTTGGATATGAGGAGCGGAATTGGAAGCAGTCGGGTAATTTTGGTATGTGTCATTCCTCTTGTACTCTCTCTTCCCGTCAGCGGATGACGCGTTCGTTGTCTTGACCTTCATTTTCATTGAACAAACCAAAAGACAGATAAGTGGTTGATCATTTATGTTACTGTTTACTTAATTCTTAATTGACGGGGAAATCATGTCACTTTGTAATTTAATCGGATCATTGCATTGTATACTTATACTTTTATCATCTAAATTTATTTTAGACTTCTAAGATTATTATCAAAAGATTACCTTGGTGTTAAACTCATTAGCGCTTCTTGACTTGCGACGACGGGTTTTACGATTCGCCTTGGCATTGGAAGCCAGGGGGTTATCAACGTCACTGAGGTTCTCCGCGCTCACTGAGTTTCGATTTACGCCTTGATTACTTATCATAATCATCGATTAATTATCTTGCAGTGTAATTGAGTTTTTGGGTAGAAAATATTATTTTATTTTACTTTTAGCGTTAAGTTACGGATAAATTGTTTACTGATCGTTACCATGAGTCAATATTCGCTTTTATTTTTAAGATGACGATCGCGTTTTTTTTTTTTTTATACATGGAAGAAAAATAAATGACTATTTATTTTTTTTTATGAACGATAAAAAAATAATTTTTTAACGAAAATTATTTTTCTATTTGTAATTTTTTTTTATCATGGAATTAAAAAAATTTTTTTTAATTAATTTGATATTTTTTTTTTTTCATTAAAATATAATTTACAATTTTTTTTTAAATTAATTTAAAATTAATCTATATTATTAAGAGAATAAGAAAAAAATTTTGTGTCCAGGATAGTTAAATTACAAAATCGGTTTTTTTAGTGAAATTTAATGTCATTGAAAAGGTCTTGACTTGAATTTGTGCCTTTTCAAGGTTTTATTTCATTCCCACCGATAGTCACTTTATTATGATAAGTATTTAGGCTGCATTCGAAAATGCTTTAACTCTAGATACATAATGAAAAAAATGACCTTGTATCTTGTGAACTATTGACATTTTTCAAGATTTAAGCTCATCCCGATGTTACATTCATCGAGACCTTTCATTTGCTTACCCGCATCAATTTTTGATATATTTTATATATTTATTTATATATATGTATATATGAAAAATATATCAAAATTAATGTGGGTACTCAAATGTAAAGCTCTTGTTGAGTGTAACATCGAGATGAGCTTATATCTTTAATTTTGTTTTATTAATTTAAATAATGTCTCTTGTTAAATTGCACTATACTTTCTTAAATATTGACGTTTCTAAAGATATAAGCTCATCCCGATGTTACACTCATCAAGAGCTTTCATTTGAGTACCTACATGCATTTTGATATATTTTTCATATGTACATATATATAATATATA